AGGGCTGCATAATTAATCTTAATAAAACCGAAATCATGATATGGCTGCAATTTCATTCATATTCACGGTATACTTTGTGTTACACAACCATGTTTTCATACTTGTAATGAGAAAAAAAGGACTTTCTGATAAATAAAAGTTGGATGGTTTTGATGGTTGGACAAAATTAAAAAAATATCAGTAAAATTATTACTACATAATGTTTTCTTAAATACAGGGAGTAGCATACTACTTTTTTGCATGTTTTTTTGTTGTTGTTGCATAACACGCAACATGTCAGATGCAATCTAAAAAAGGCTATAGGCAAAAAGGTCAATATTTTATGAAATATAAGAGATCATTTTAGTGGCGTTGATCTGTTACAGTGGGACAGCGGAGCCATACTAGGTCTGACGGCAAATGCTACAGGGAAGTCACTAGTATTCTAGAAGAGATCTCTACATATTGTCTCCTGAGAGAGCAATGGATTATCATTAAGTGTGACCCAGGAGATTGGCTAAGGATATCAATATGCCATAGAAGAGCAATTACAGTGCCAAGGCAAGATGCTCCTTCTTTATTGGCATGGAAAGGTGATTTGTAGGCCAAGTACAATGAAGCAGACTCAGTTTCACAGACGATTGATGGGGGGTTGGAGGAGAGAAAGTAGAGATGTGAGTGAGGGGAGATTTCTGCAACATGAAACTACTATCCACATTAACTACATGAATATTTTATGATCTACAGCACAAATACAGCAGTCGATTTTCAAATAAAAGACATCTCTGAAGTCTTCAACCAGTGATTTAAAGGAGCCACACTTGCTTTGCGGCTACATTCATAATAAAGTATAAATGCATCTCTTATAGTATCCCGCACAGTACGGTCCAATCTTCATGTTGAGAAAGAGATAGGCTATTGAAACTCTCCTGGTCAAGTGAAACACACTGCATTCTGGATAAAAATTATTCATTGTAGTATGCTAATGTAGTATTTCATACTGCTATCATTTCATATATACAGAATATTTGCTTAAATGACATGTGATGTGCATATATACTGTACACTTATATACTGTTACAGAAAAAAAAAGTACAAAAGCTGTCACTGGGGCTGTACCTTTTCTAAAAGTAAACTTTTGTACATTTCTGGTGCTAATATGTCCATTTCATGAGCTAAAATGTACATTTTAGGTCTTAATATGTACATTTTAGGTGCTAATAAGTACATTTTAAGTGCTAATATGTACATTTTAAGTGTTATTATGTCCATTTAGGTGCTAATATGTACATTTTAAGTAGTGGTGCACGATATATCGGCCGCCGATATAATATCGGCCGATTTGGTCAATTTTTTACACATCGGTATCGTTCCGATGTCAAAATAGGGCCGATGTGAACAGGCCGATGATCATCCCTGTGTATTTGACGTGCGTGTAGGTGTGAGTGTGGGGGCGGGGATGTTTGTTTTTGCACGCGTATTAAAAGCGCAAGTGCGTTTAAACATCAAGCCACGAAGACTGGAACTGGTGAGCTGTTTTCTGCCAGCCTTCCTAATGCGTATTTTTGTCCCGCCAAAGCCATATTTGACCGGTAAGTGATGTAGATGAGTGACTGCTGCGCTTGTTTAACTGAGGGAACAGGAGAGAGTGAAAGCACCGGTCGCGCGCCGTCTTCAAAATGTCTTGCGCTTGTTTAACTGAGGGAACAAGAGAGAGTGAAAGCACCGGTCACGCGCGCCGTCTTCAAAATGTCTTGCTCTCTCTCTCTCTCTCCCTCCCTCCCGCATGTTTATGAATTGAGTTGACTGAATATCTTTGAGAATACACGACGGTAAAAGGTCGGAAGACCGAAGTTTTTTTCTTCTGAACTACTGGTTGTGAATTGTGAAACCACACTTTCAACAAACCAAAAAAATCTATCTGTTGATGAAATGTTTTCTGTGTCGACTGTCGAGACCATAGACTGTAAAAATAAGTCGAGACAAATCTCGTGCGATGTTCTAAACTGCCTGGATAATCACAACGTGTGCCGTGGTTCCGTTAATGACACATCCGATTCGCGAACTAATGACTCCTTTGAACCGATTCACTTTAATGAATGGTTAAAACAACTGATCTGTCCAACACTGAGCTCAAGAGACATAAATCGGAAACACTTTACAATAAGGTTCCATTTATTAAAGTGCACATTAAATGTACACTTTAATAAATGGAACCTTATTGTAAAGTGTAAGGTTAATAGATTAATAGAATGTTAACAAATTTTGTTAACATTCTATTAATATTAGTTTCTATGCAGATTTACTCCATGACAAAACTACCCCAGTCATTCTAGAATGATTCATTCTTTCCAAATAGAGCAATTCAAGTAATCTGGTGAAATTGTTTTTATATCACAATATATATCGCAGAAAAATAAAATATCACAATGTCATTTTTTACCAATATCGTGCAGCCCTAATCCTCGCTATGTGTTTTCTATACAGGGATATCGACATCGGTAAATATCGGCATCGGCCATAACAGCAATGTTAATATCGGTTATCGATATCGGCCACAAATTTTCACATCGGTGCATCACTAATTTTAAGTGTTAATATGTTCGTTAGCACCTAAAATGTTACTATGTAGTACATTTCAGGTGCTAATATGTACAGCCTTTGGGTACAAAAGTGTACCTTTTGAAAAGGTACAGCCCCAGTGACAGCTTTTGTACCTTTTTTTCTGAGAGTGTAGATAATAGAAAGAACACTATTAGGATTTATGGCACCCAAAAAACAGGAACATTTTACTTATGTTATGCAAAGTGAAACTATTCAATGGCGGGCCGAGGAAGAAATAAAACGGCGACACTTGATTTTATCCATCGACTGGTTTGGTTGTAAATGGTGGTCATGCTGTGACAGGTGGTGTGACAGAATGGGTGGCTTTTAGGTTGTTAGAAATGGAAAAAGATTACCCATTGATTGTGACTACGAAAAACTGTTTTCTTTGGAAGATCACACACCCATTATGTGTTTATTATCAATAAAGGGATAGTTTACTCGAACAATTTAAATTCTGAAATAATTACTCACCCTCATGTCGTTCCAAAACTCTATGAGTTACATTTTTCTGTAGGACAATATATTTTGAAGAATGTTGGTACCAAATAATTTTGGTTACATTGACTTTGGTTATATGTACTGTATGGACAAAATTAAATTTTTTCAAAATATCTTCTTTTTACAGAAGCACGAAAATCATACAGGTTTGGAAAAACATGATGCTGAGTATCCCATAAGTATCCCATAAGAAGAGCATGAATGTCTAAGAAGGTATTTAAGCAAAACATTTGTATAAAATCAAGAAAAATGCACTTAGTAAACATTCCCATTTTCAATGGATCAATGCTAACCACAACAAGGACAAGTGGTGCTTGTTCGAATATGCAATGTTCTACCAGCGTGTAAAAATGAAACAGAACTAGTAAACACAGTTCATGCAGAGCAATGATGCATGATGTTGATGATAAAGGAAGTCAGCACAGCACGGATTCTTATCCTTCAACCACAGATGTCAAGTTTCTATTAAAGCTGCTGTAAGACATTTCAGCCATTTTGCTAACTTTCATCAGACCAACCACACACTCTTCAAAATATACAAGCTATAAAGTGTTGAAGAAGGCATGTCAGCAACCCAAACATTAAAAATGATTGAATAATGATGGGTAATTAGTGATTCTGAACAATCTTTTCAGTGAACAAATCATTCTTGTTCACTACCACCACAAACAAAACATCGTGTTCATGAAGGAGCCAAACCGAACAAACTAAACATGTTGTTAATGAACAACCTACACACACAAACAATAAATGTTGTATATGAATGAAGAATTTCTGACTGCCTGGAGGAAATTGGCAGTGAATCTCATTCAAAACAAAAAAGAGAAAAGGGTTGAAAGTTTATGAGGGGTTACTGCAGAATTTTTAATGAATGAGTTGAGTGATTATTCAGTGATACACAAAAGATCTCACCATTCACTCTTTCACCTGATGGTGTTACAGATAAAGTCACTAAACGAATAAGGAGTCTTTTTTTGCGAAATGATAAAACACTTTATTTTGGGATGATTGTCTCACTAGATTGAATCAAAATCCCAGGCAACAAAACAATTTTAACATATCACTTTAAATGGGGGGGGTGGCAGACCACACCACTCACTTTTGCAGAACCTGATTTCACCAAGTGCAACATATTCCTGGATCAATGAAATGTTTTTCCATTATCAATCAGCTTTGAGGGACAAGTTTACAGTTTATGTCAAGTTTAGGCTTACAACAAGGGTTAGGTGCTTCTAGATCAGTGTTATTCGCCTAACATTTCCCTATGATTTTAGGAATAACTTATGAGTAGGGTTAGGGCTTGTGATATGGTTGTTTAAACTTACGGACAGGAATGTTGTTCCAGGATCAAATATGTTGATATAATTCGTCATAATCACAAATGCCACACCCTTACTGGTGTTTACAGGAACCAAGACTGTCAAAGACAGGTGTTGTTTTTCTCTAGAATATCTGTTAGGTAGTAAGGATAATATATTATTTTGTAGTATTGTGTGGATTTCCCCCCAAAATTGCTCACAGCACTTTTAAGTAAATACTACGATGTGTATGTGGTTTTGTCAATATTTTTATCAGTTTTTACACACACAATCTTAGACATCACTCTAGTGCAACAAACTCAAACGTGCTGATGATCTGACAGGCCCATCTGACAGTCAGAGTGTAACTGTTAAATTAACTAATAAACACATACATTTACACACAGCCTGACCACACCAGAAATACAGTTGCGAGACTAAGGTTATACTATGATAATACTGCATACTAATAAATACTGGCCAAAAAATGAAAGGTTTGGAGTAAGAAATCGTTTCCCTTATGAGAATGTTGATAACAAACACACACATGCACGCGCCAGCACTCATTAGCACTAAGCACTAACAACAACAACAACAACACAATTGAACTGTCATTACCGTACGTCTCTGACATGTCGGTCCCACCGATAAAACCAATAAACCGGGCAGACGGTACTCTTTATTCCCTTCTTCAGATAAATGGTTTGCTGTGTTTAAGTTTCTGTGTGTAGTGGTGGTAGCCAACAGGCTAGCTGCTAACGCCTCTCAACGTTTCCTGTTTAACAACACACAAACCTGCGCGTGCACAGCGTGCTCGCGACACTGACGTGATGTCATGACGCGATGACCAAAATAAAGAAATGTTAAAATAATTGTTAAATACGGAGTTAAGAAGAGTTTTATTTATTATTGATTTTATAATGGAAATAGCCTATTATGTAAAATTGTTGTCATAGTAATTAATTAGTGTAGGCTACTCGGTCTGGACAAGTTAAGTGCCCCGAACAACGGTCACATTAATATTTTATAAAGCTTTTTGGCGAGTTAAAGCATATGATCAAAAAAAAGGCTTTAATCTAATATATATCAATATAATTAAAGAATAATAAGTTATCGCTCTCCCACGAGTCCCGCAAAATCATGTCTGCTTACCTAACTGGTGGTAAATTATACTTCGTCTTATAGCCAACTTGTTCTTATTGATATAAGTATCTGAAAAAGTAATAGATTATACAAGTCAAAATATACACTAAATAGAGTTCATAGTATGAACACACGGTGGCAGTCAAACTCCGGTCAGAAGTATAGGCTATGTTGTTTGAGCATTGTAGGGATGATCCATGGTGTAGTGTGGCTGCTATCTATGCTTGCTATGGCCTACTTTATCTAAAGCTATAACATTGGGTTTCACTTCATTTCGATGGTCCACTTTAGATATTCTACTAACTGTAAGAAACTAACTCTCCAGACTGTTAGGTTATGTTTTGGTTGACATGTAGTTGTAAATGTATATGGAAAAACTCATTTATCACACCACCAGACTGTTTATGGGACTGCACAAAAGCTAAAATTTCTTTAACAACCATGTAAGAAGACACATCATGAACATATTCCACGGCAAGATTCATCAGCCTCAAACTGTGAAAGAATGGTTGGAGGGAGCGTAAAGAATAATTTTCATACATGAATTGGCATCTCTGAGTCCAGACCTTAAATTCATTGAAAGTCTTTGGGATGTGGAGGAGACTTTACAGAGTGCTGGACTCTTGCATTGTCAATACAAGAGCTGGACCAAAAATCGATGCACCTCTTGATGGAAATAAACGTTGTGATGTTATAACATGCTAGAAACATAACAATCACTGCAATAATAGACTCTTAAGCATTTTGCCTTTTTAAATCGAAACTTTTTTGGTCCGGGCGGTTTACATACTTTAATTTATGCATATAAGATTGCATAAATCAAGCAAGGATAAAGAGTTTCCTTTGATGAAAACGTCATAAAAGTGTACGTTGCTAGTCTTTGGCTTTGCTGATTGCATTCTTTTTGAAGCACAAGCAGCGACTGTCAACTTCTGTTCTCTTCTGTCCACACATTCCTTCATGCACACTTTGAGGGGCCCGGTGCACACGTCTTCAAAGCCCTTGTCGTGCCAGACCGCCCAGGGCCCACAGGTGATAAATTACAGATCCCTCTGCCACTATCTATGATTTCCTCCCTGCCTTTGTTCTCTCATGACAGATTCCCCTGCATGTTTTCTGAAAGGCCTTTCTCGCTCAGAGATTAAAGGGAGGAGGGAGAGCCTGCCGTATGGAGCACGGATGTTTTCCTAATATTGTCTAAACTTTGAATGAAAGAGGCAGAAAAAGGGGGTTCTTTTTTCCGACCCCCAATGCTTCATGGTCTGAAGGCTCTGCCGTACTCGTACTAGGCCGTAACACCATAACACTTTCATTGTTTAGACTGCAAGGTCTCTGTGTTTGTGACCTTGGACAAACCTGTTAGTAGTGCAAGATTAGGACCAGGTCAGTCTGCCTATTCTGGCGTTCGAGTGCGTTAATGAGGAGACATGTCAGGACATGTGCGGGAGGGTGAAACCTGCAAACATAAATTAGGCATATAGCTGCAAGCAGCAATAAGCAGAGCCCAAATGTACTTCTCAGGTAGATAAGAGTCAGGTTCAGGTTTTCTGAAGTGAAATCACATTCTTAGTTTTAATTATGTTGTTAAAAAACAGTGACAGCAAGGTGCTTTTCCTTGAATGATGAAATAATGAGGCAGAACATTTGAGTCTCTGAACATTATAAAGGCTTTATAGCACACAGACACATAATCTGTCAACATTTTTTAGGACACAGAGCTGGCAGCTTTATGAGGCCTAGAAGCTGTACATCTTTGCAGAGACATTTCCCCATACTGTCATGTTTGCAGAATATATATTTTCATATTAAAATGTATTTGTTACCTGAAAACAAGATGGTGGACATTTTGTTCTGCTATATGGTTGCTATACTCCAGTACTGAAATGCATATTTCTAATCGTTTAATGATATTGTGTTGCTTGTGATGTTATGTTGCAATCTTCGTGCAAGTCTTTGAGCTTTTTTACTGTGCATCGCAAGCTGAGCAAGTTTACCATGCAAAGCCACTAATGGAGCTGTTATGTGATACAGATGTGAAACTGTATTAGTTTACAAATCATGCATATGGTAAATGTGTTTTGAAGTGAGGACTTGTGCAAGGAACCGCAATAGTAATATATATGAAGAGTTCAGATGCAAAAGCCTCTAAGTGCCATTTGAAATTTTCTTCTAAAATGATCATTTTTATCAAGCTTGTATATTTAAGTTCAGTAATTTCACTTAAATGGCAATGAAGATTACCTATTAATTGTCGTTTAAGTGAAATCACTGAACTTAAATACACAAGCTTGATAAAAATGACCATTCTAGAAGAAAATTTCAAATGGCATTTAGAGGCTTTTGCATCTGAACTCTTCATATATATTGTATAATTTATGTTTTTCTTTCTTTTTTTTTTTTTTTTTTTGAAGAACTGTTGGATGTGAAAAAGTATTTCAACTATTTTCAAATGAAATTCCACTGGTGTGTCTGTGTTACATTTGTTTGAAATGCACTTCAGTACATTCTTTCTGTCATTCCAATTCAAATCCCAATAGAGTGCAACAGTCGGTTCCAGAAGTAAAACTTTTCTCTTTAGGGAAACTGATTTTCAACAATGACTTAAGACCTACGGCGAGTTCAGAGGTTGGTAATCCATGGTATTAGTCTGGGTTTCCCCATGCTGCCTTCCCGCAGCCAGCGCAATTTTATTCACACTGAAAGGTAGTATGGATTTTTTGGATTAAAATTTTTTGGATTTTTATTATGGATTTATGACAGATATTAATGCCCTCTATTCACAATTCTGTGGGTGTGGCCAAATCTATTCAAAATCCTCTGACGTTTTCCCCATCATGGTTGGACCGTCCAGAGTTCAGAAATCATCTGAAGCAACCTCATCTGCCGTTTAATCCTCTATTCGCCATTGGAGGGCAGAGTTCGGGACTTTTAAAAATTAACCTCTTAGCATGTCCTTTTCAGGAAGGAAAAGCAAATAAAAGTGTACAACTAGTAAACTCAATGATAAACCGTGACTCAGTGCTTCAGTGAACAATATTTGAGAGTCTGTGAAAACACCAAACTTTCCAAGTCATGATAACGAGTCACCTTCTAGAGTCAGGTTACTCTGATTCTATTTTTAGCAAATCCTACATGAACACCATAGGATGGAGATATTAAAGTTTTTCTTAGAGCTGAAGTCTGCTATATGCGTAATCAAACAGACATAACTATTTTAATTGTGAACACAAACATTGGTTGGCCAAACCTCATCTCAAACTCAAATGGCTTAAAGGTAGGGTATGCGATTTTTTAAAATAAACACTTTTTGTGTTATACTGGTTGAAACTCTCTTCACATCCTGATAGCAAATCAGGGACATTGAAGACTGCATCCGCTAGCACACTGTTTGAGGTCAGGGGAGTGAGGTTTACAAGCACAACTCTTACTGGTCTATCCGTTAAACTCACCCCCATAAACCTCACTCCCATCTCGGGTCACGGCACCAAATGTAATCTGTCCTACTCGATCTGCTCCAAGCGGGATTTAAACTATGGTCTCCGGCGTGGGAGGCGGGCACGCTAACAAGGACCGCAGCTTCTACACTCTCAGAAAAAAAGGTACAAAAGCTGTCACTGGGGCTGTACCTTTTCAAAAGGTAATCTTTTGTCCATTTCATGAGCTAATAAGTACATTTTAGGTATTAATATGTAGATTTTGAGTGCTAATATGTACATTTTAAGTGTTAATATGTACATTTTAAGTGTTAATATGTACATTTTAGGTGCTTATATGTACATTTCAGGAGCTAATATGTCAATTTCATGAGCTAATATGTCCATTTTAGGTGGTAATATGTACATTTTAGGTACTTATATGTACATTTTAAGCGTTGATATGTAGCCTACATTTTGGGTGCTAAATTATGTACATTTTAAGTGTTAATATGTACATGTACATTTTAAGTGTTAATATGTACATTTTAGGTGCTAATGTGTACATTTCAGGAGCTAATATGTCAATTTCATGAGCTAATATGTCCATTTTAGGTGGTAATATGTACATTTTAGGTACTAATATGTACATTTTAAGTGTTGATATGTACATTTTGGGTGCTAATATGTACATTTTAAGTGTTAATATGTACATTTTAAGTGTTAATATGTACATTTCAGGAGCTAATATGTCATCTTCATGAGCTAATATTTCCATTTTAGGTGGTAATATGTACATTTTAGGTTCTAATATGTACATTTTAAGTGTTGATATGTACATTTTGGGTGCTAATATGTACATTTTAAGTGTTAATATGTACATTTTAGGTGCTAACATGTACATTTCAGGAGCTAATATGTCAATTTCATGAGCTAATATGTCCATTTTAGGTGGTAATATGTACATTTTAGGTACTAATATGTACATTTTAAGTGTTGATATGTACATTTTGGGTGCTAATTGTCACGATCACCAGTTGGAGTGCCCCAGAGAATCACCAGAGGGCACTCCACATCAGAACTGATCACTTCACCAGAACTCCGTTTCCCATAATGCCTCATCCCTGTGACCGATTACACGCACACCTGCACCTCATTTCAGACTGCCTACATAAGCCACATTCAAACAAGGACTCTTTGCGAAGTATTGCATTGCCACGGCTTGTAATTTCTGAGCGTATATC